AAAGAATAAAGAATTTTCTATTTTACATCATGATCATAGCTGTATACTTACTAGCATTCAATTTTAGGACTAAGACCAAGAAATTTTTATTTTTTTGAGTCAGGGTCTCACTGTGTTGCCCAAACTGGCTTCAAACTCCCCTGGGCCCAAGTGATTATCCTGCCTCAGCCTCCTGAGTAGCTGGGACTATAGGTGTACACCACCTTCCCTGACAAAGACAAATATTTTTAAAATGATGCCTGTGATAAAAAATGCAGATATTGTTTGTTATAATCCCAGCGCTTTTGATAAAGCCTGTGCAGATTCCAAACAGGACTCAAAGCTTACAACCTAGAAAAGGATAGTTTTCAGTCAGTCTTACAACCTATCAAAGAAAATGCTGGCTCTCTAGGGGACCTCCCATTTCACACACCTAGGAGACTGTTTGGCTTAAATACTAATACCTAAACAATCTGCTAAATACACAAAAGATACTTCTCCACTACGAATGTAATTCAGTTATGTGTCTAAATTAGATTATAATAAATTTATTTGAACTTGGTAATATGAGTCAGAGATCTAAAAGAAAATGCTAAGCTCTTTAAAACACATTAAAAGCAGCAGTTAAATTAACTCTCGTTTCTAAGACATCAACTTTTCCATCAAGTTGCTATATGGCAACTGTAATAAATACTTTAAAACATGTCTAATTAAAGGAACAGCAGTATAGCTTATTTATTTGGCAGAAATAAGCACTCAATAGCTCGCATTCTCCTATGTCAGGAATACTCATTTTCCCCTGGTAAATGTCACACAGATCAATGTGATCATATAAAAAGAGACTCTAAGGAAATTTTAACAAATAAGTAAATCATCATCAAGGCAATACATGATAGTAATCCCAACTGGAGACTCTAAATGATAGCAAATAAGTACATAAGGAAATAGAAATATTCCCACACTTCCAAGTGAAAAGAAGGTATTTAAACATTCAAAACATGCTATAACCAAAGATCAGTTCCCAGCAGAAAGTAAACATTAGTTTTCTTTAGCCTAACAAACTGAAAAGATGGTCCAAAAAAAATACGTTTTTCTCCTTACCCACTAGAATCCACCTCCTCTAATGCTTTGAGAACATTTTATACCTTAACAGGTATTTATTTTACATTTATCCAAGTTGAATCAAAGATACCTCTGCAGTACCAGAAATGTTAGTTTTCCTCTTTCATGATCTTCATGGGGGAGAAAACACAGCTATCATGGTACATCAGTTTTTTCTATGTACTTAGGCTATGAGCTCACCTGAGAGTCAGCAAAAAGTTCTGATCAGTTTGAAAACAAGGATTGGAGATCTATAGTTCAGTCGTACAGCTCTTGCCTAATATGTTCAAGGCCCTGGGATCTATCGCCAGCACCACATACACATACACAAAGCAAGAACTACTTTGAAATCTGTGTCCACGGTCACTGAACCCCAGTCCTTCAATGTCCCTGACATATACTCTAGTGCAGTTTGCTTCAGAAAATGTATGTTTAAACTGAAACTGTTGAAGAGCAGCAGTCGTTACCCAGGATGATGGAAAATGGTCATCAGTGACATGAAAATCAACAGACATGTTTCACTAAAATCCCAAACAGCCAACCCCCACTGAACACAGAGAGCACACACTGCAAGTTTGGTCAGAGCCCACAACCCACAAAGCTCTTTCCACAGGCCAGGTTGGCAATTCCAAAGTGCCTTGTCTAAATAGTCTGACTTTATGTGGGTACCAGGTTAAAAATGTGTACTGTTATCATGTTGGTCCTCCTGAGTTTTGTTAATAGCTTGTCTATGGTCACTGAGGCAGCCATCCAGAGACACTTCAATAGCCACTTCTGGTGTATCTCTTCTGCTACAATATGTCTCTAGAGGAGGAACACCATTGTGCTCAGCACAGCCATTGACATGGGCCAGGGGCACTGACCCAGGGGGGCAGCACAGCTTGTTAGCACAGCTATTGGAAACACAGGGGTGGCTGCAGAGCAATAGTAAGTCCTTCTGCTCCAGGGATTCCTTCAAGTCCACATTTTCAAATTGGATGGTCACATTATGGATTCCTGCATTGTGGAAAATTTCTCGAATTTTTGTGCTGGCATCCTGATATCCCCTGTCCTTCTGATACTTGATGTGCAGGGTGGCAATGATCTTTCCACTTATAAGTTCCCAGATGTGCACTTCATGCACACTGCTGATTCCAGGCACAGTAGAGAGTTTACTCACTAGAAGAGAGAAGAGCAAACAAAAGTCCTGGTGAGTGCTCTCACTGAAACACGGAACTATGAACATGGCTGCGGTTCCACAAGCGTGCTCACCAAAATGGCAGTGCTTCTGCTGAGATTAACAGAAAAACCAGCTGTCCCTCTGTAAGTATGTTTCCCCATAAGCCTCTCTTTCCTCTCTGAATTCCTATGTCACACATTGCTAGCCCATGAAAAGGAATTCAAGAAAAGAAGTCTAACAACGGAAAAGTATGTCACCAGGCACATTGGTGCATACCTGTGATCCCAATGACTCAGAAAGCTGAGGCAGGAGGATCACAAGTTCAAGGTCAGCCTCAGCAATTTAGCAAGATCCTGTCTCAAAATAAAAAGGGCTAGGGATGAAGCTCAGTGGTAAAGAACCACTTGGTTCAATCTCCAGTACCAGAAAGAAAAAGTCCAGGACTGATGAGTACACAAGGGAATGGACACTCTAATGGGCTTTCCAGGAGAGCATAAAGTGGAATTTCTTTTTTAAAGAAGTATAATTTAGCAATATGAACCAAAAACGTTTACCAGCAATTCTAGTTTCAAGATATTTAACCCAAAGGAAATACCAAATATTTTTATTATGTACAAGAATGGTTTGGGCAATGCTTTCTGTATTAATAAAAAAAATAGGAAATAGTTAACCCAATTATACTATAGAAGATGATATACCTGTTCAAAGCAATTGCATATTTAAGCACATAAAAAATGTACATAGGTATTTTTAAGTAAAAGAGCAAACAGCTAAACTATATATATGGCATGATCTTTTTAAAAAAGTTTGTATACAGTGTATATAGAAAAAAATACTAAGGGTGACAGTTTCCATGATCAAATTATATAGGATTTCTTTATGCTATTTAGGTTTTTGTGGATTTTTCATATTTTCTAAAATTAGTGTGTATTTAGTGAGATGATATGGAACAGTGTTTAAGAGAAAAGACTCTGAAGCCAACTAGAGTTGGAATCCTAGTCTCTGACAACCTACATGACCTTAAGTAACTGACCTAGCCCCTCTGTGCCTCATTTTCCTGATATGTAAATTAGGAATGATAATAATGGTACCACATAGGATTATTTTAAGGATTGGAAGGAATCAACGTAAGTAAAGCTCTTAGAACAGTACCTAGCATGTAATAGGTTTACAAGTATTGCTGTTGTTATTATCTCTCAAATATATTTTAAAATACATATATGATCTTACTTAAAGGCATAGCCAGTATACTATCACAGACTTTCATATATATTTATCTTGTTTTCTTAACTGAGAAACAAGCTAGATCCTGGGGGAAGGCAAAAGCATGAATGCCTGCTCATCTATGTCTCCCTTCCATTCGCACCACTGCGTCTGCCTGCAGCATTGGGCAAATAGTAGGTGCTCTGATTCAAATTTTAAAGCAGCCAAAGAATTAACCATACCTCACTGGCTTTTTAGAGACAACATTGCCAGAGAAAAGGCCAAAAAAGACAAATAGAACATCCAGGAAAAAAAGAGCACAGGAGGAGTCTCGGCTATTGGCAGTGGCTCCACAGATTGGCACCGACGCATGCTAAGTGAACGCAGCACTGGCAGGGCCATAGCCTTCAAAGAACAGCCAGCTGCAGCTGGGGGTGTGGCCCAGTAGTAGATCATGTGCTTAGGATGTGTGAGGCCCTATGATCAAGCCCTAGAATATAAAAGAGGGTCTAGAGATGTAGCTCAGTGACAGAGCACTTGCCTAGCATGTACAAGGTCCTGGATTCAATCTCTAGTAATGCAAAAAAAAAAAAAAAAAAAGCCCACTGCAAATCACCCCTCCATTAGGAGACAGTCCAACCACACCTATCCAATGTATTTTATATTCATTTAATTAAATTTCATGTATACGTCATGAAATAAAGTCTTCCAGTTTCTATTTCAAATTTACTGCTCACTGATAAAGCAATGACAAATAAATAACACACATAAATAATTTTGTTCTATGAAAATGTAATCTCCATTTAGAAATAAAGTCATATTTTCAGTTTCCTACCAACATCTTAATAGTTCATATTTTGAAATTGAAATTCTACAAAAATCTGTAAAGTTTTTACCCCAGAGGCACTAAAGTGAGAGTCTGACTTCTATTTGAGGAAAGGAGAGGTAGATTTCATTAATGGCTGAAGGAAAGCTCTGAATTTAAAATGCTCTTTTTAATCTAATGAAAGACATCCACAGAAGTCAATTAACTAGAGAGCAGGATCTAGAATATGAATGATTTGTGTTTTCAGAAAATAAAAAAGCAGAAGTGGCCTTGAATTAAAATAAATCTTTGAAGTAAACGTAAACAGCCCAGAAGTAGGTGCTACCCAAGTGCTATGTTATCAGAATTTTTGCAGCTGAATCAGAGAATCATGGCTTACAAAGGACCTTTGGATCTTGGAGCTGTGAATCATCTTGCTAGGCTGCCAACCACATGAGGGACATCTCTATTGCATGGTGATTTCACGTATTTCAGAATACATAACCAAACACTGCTCTGCCATAATGCTGGCCCTTTGGTCTGAAATGACATTCAGCTGACACTGGTTCTAGATCAGAATCCAGTCTACTTACTCAGCTCTTCCATGTTGACTCCCTTGGGGACCATCTGCAGGAGAATGACAGCAGTCTCCTTGATGAGTGGGAAGGCAGATGACAAAATAATGATGACCATGACAACAGTTAGGCTGGGATCGATGTAGCATTGCCAGTTACACGGGTCCTCATTTTTCAGGGGCAGCACATAGAATATAATGGCTGTGATGACCACAATCACGGACCCCAGGGCGTCTCCCATCACATGCAAAAGAACACCTGACAAGAAGAAAGAGAAACCAATGAAACAGATGGAAGTTTGGCAGCCCGAGCTGTGTCACCCTTGAATTTTCAAATATATGAATATCCATTGCTATATGCTTTGTTTTTTTTTTTCTTGTTTGAACAGCAGTATGAATCATAATCAAAAACAATAGCAACTGATTTTCCGTTTTTAAAATTAAATTATTTATGTATTCTAATGTGTTATTCATGATGGTAGAATGCATTCATTTCATATTACACATATAGAGCACAATTTTTCAAGTCATTGATTGTACACAAAGTATTTTCAGACCGTTCATGTCTTCATACACGTACCTAGGGTAATGATGTCTAACTCATTCCACCATCATTCCTACCCTCTTTCTCCCTTCCATCCCCTCCCTCCCCTTTCCCCTATCTAAAGTTCCTCCATTCCTCCCAGGCTCCCCGCCCCATTATGAGTCAGCATCTTCATATCAAAGAAAACATTCAGCCTCTGGTTTGGGGGGATTGGCTTGCTTCAATTAGTCTTATATTCTCCAACTCTATCCATTCACCTGCCATGATTTTATTCTCTTTTAATGCTGACTAATATTCCATTGTGTAGATATACCACAGTTTCCCTATCCATTCATCTACTGAAGGGCATCTGGCTTGGTCCCACAATTTAGCTATTGTGAATTGTGCTAGCAACTGATTTCCTGAAAAGAAAAACCCCCGGCCACCATCCCAGGGCCCAGAGAACCACTGAAGAGGAACTGCCTGGGAGAATCTGGGCTGGCTGTCACCTGCAGGAAGAGTGACTGTGCCATCTCAGAGGTTCACCTTACTACCACCCACCTTCAAAGGGCACCAGGCCAGAAAATAGAGGCTGTGTAAATTTCTTGTTCTTTCAGACAAGCATCCATACTTCAAATTATTTAAAGCATTTTTAAAAGGAGACAGAATTAAGCTATGTCAAAAGTTACGTCCTTTGTCTTCCTTCTGCCATGATCCATTCTCCCCCTTCCCTGTAAGCCTACTTCTCACTTAACCTCACTTAGTCATGTCAATCGAATTTGCTATATAAACATTTCTCAAGAACAGGGGCTCCAGCAAAATGTCCACCACATAAAAAGCCACTTGTCACAATGAAAACTTGAATCCAAATCAAATTAAAATTCCACCGATAATAATAAAAATCATGCATATCTTGGATTAAGAGAACTGTTTCTAAATGCATCAATTATTATATAGAAAATAAGCAACTATCAACAAAGAAGATCCAGCTGCCCAACTGATTGTTAAACATCAACTTACCTGACATTTAGTAAATTCAGCAAAAATCTGGTAAGATGGGTAATGAAATATAAACACAAAGCATTTGTGTTACAGAAAGTAATGTCTTGCTTTTCCAAGCCAGCAGCAATGCAGCTCAGGAGAGCTCGTTAGAGATGCAGGGTCTCACGTACCCTCCTAGAAGCAGCTGGAAATAATCTAAAAATGGTTCACAGTTCGATTGACCCAGAAGCCTCCAAAAAATCATGCAAATCAAGAGGTACAAAAATTCATGCTCATTTTAATAATTACCTGAGAAACTGCCCAGGCCATTAAGGATGATATGCATATCCAAAAAGCCACTTTGTGTCCAAAAGATGTTACTTTAGAGAAGTAATATGTGAACGATGGAGTTGGTAGGTGTGCCTGGGCCAAGCAGTAGGGCTGGACACTGGGTTGGTGGCCCAAAACCAGCGCTGAATTTTTGCTGCATATGCTTAAATATGCAGAGAGTAATGCTGAACTTAAGGGTTTAGATGCAGAGTCTATGGCCATGGAACACACCCAATGAACAAAACACCCAGCTGTACCACCTCTCAGAGCTCACAGTCAAATTCACCTGAGCTCACCTGCTACACTAAAATGAAAAAGAACAAACTGTTCCTAAACCAGAAGACAGGGAATAAATTCAGAATAAAATAAATGTAAATAAATGAAAGAAGGAGGAGGAGGAGAAAAGGAGAAAGGAAATGAAGAATCCCCATTTTATAAATGAAGAAACGGAAGCACAGAGTAGCTAAATAACTCATTGAAGATCACAGAGCTATTGAATCCAAACTTGCATTTTAACAAGATCCCCAGGTGATTTGAATGCATGTAAAAGTTTTCAAAGCTCTGCTCTACAACAAAGCTACAGATCAAGAAAGGCCGGGCTGGGGATGTAGCTCAAGCGGTAGCACGCTCGCCTGGCATGCGTGCGGCCCGGGTTCGATCCTCAGCACCACATACCAACAAAGATGTTGTGTCCACCGAAAACTAAAAAATAAATATTAAAAAAAAATTCTCTCCCTCTTTAAAAGGGGGGAGAGGTCAACTTCTCTCTCCACATATCCCCTCAGAAAAATTAATAACAATCCAAATTACTAACAATGCACTCATGGCTAAATAGCTTCACATGGAAGTGCTCCTGTTGGCAGCACTTCCAGGATTCTAACATCCCAGTTCAAATGGCATTCTACATTCTCGATGTAATTCATGGCAATCCCCCACCCCACCCGCTCCAAAAAAAAAAAAAAAATACGGGTATAAAAAAAAAAAAAACACAAGCCAGGTGTGGTCGCACACGCCTGTAATCCCAGCGGCTCGGAAGGCTGAGGCAGGAGGATCAAAAGTTCCATCAGCCTCATCAATGAGTGAAACCCTGTCTCTAAATAAAATTAAAAATAGGTCTGAGGATGTGGCTTTGTGGCCAGTGCCCCTGAGTTCCATCCCTGGTAGCCGACCCCACCCCCACCCTACCAAAAAACAGTGTGGGGGGGTGTAGGTCAGTTGTAGAGCACTTGCCAGCATGCGCAGGTCCTCCTGGGTTTACTCTACAGCACTGCAAAAGGAAGCAAGGCAGGTAGGCAGGCTGCCCACATTTCCTTTTGGCTGAGACTCTGATACAATATCTACATGAAAGATTCCCACTTTCTATTTCTGTGCCTTCTCTCCCCCACCCATCCCAAAGGCCCTTCTTCCTCCCCAGTTCTTCTCCTGAGCCAGGCAAGAGAGACTCAGGACTTTCTCAGAGTTGTCCTATCAACCCAGTTCCCTCCAGCAGGAACCAAAAATTGAAGGCTTAACTTTCTTCAGGACAGTACAAAGTGCTGCACTCAAAGAGGAAAACCTAATGGTTCCTACACTTGTCATTCTCACAACCTGAGACAGTCTGTTATTCCCTGGTAGATTCATGCATTGAGCCTCGTGTCCTCCATTAGACTGTAAGTGACATGAGTGTCAGTCATACCCTGAATTTCTTTAAAGTACAGCACTGAAGGCAGAGAATGTCTACTCAATAAGACAGCATTTTCCGGTTCATAAGTCATAATTCCTATGACATAGAGTAACTCCTGTCTTTAATAATAACTGAAAATAATAATAATTGTGCTGGGGGTTAGCTCACTTCTAGAGTGCTTGCTTTGCATGTTCAAAGCCCTTGGCTCAATTCCAGAACCATGAAAATATTTGTAACAATAATAAAAGTAATGATCTTTGTAATGCTAACTGAAAAGTATGTACCAGGCATTGTTTAAAGCTTATTTACACAGTAAGTCTTCTTAAGGGCTCTCTGAGGTGGTTACCTGCTTCATTTCACAAATAAGGAAACTGAAGCACAGAGTAGCTAAGTAATTTGTCCAAGGTCACATGGCTAGAAAGTGTTAAGAGACAGAAGTCTGGGAAGTCTGACTAAAGGACCACTGCACATCCTGCCTCATGTAAGTTCTAAATTTCAATTTCAGGTTTTCCTCCTGAGAAGTACCACTATTAATCTCTTAGAATTATATAAAATGGTGCCTTTCATACATGTTTTTCTCATAACCCATACTAAAAAATTTGTTTTATATCCTAGTATGCACAGGCATTCATGAGGGCCTTAACTAAAATTATTAATACTTGCTATTCTACTTGAACCAATTATAATTAATTTTTAAATGCTAATTGTATGGTACTAAATGGATTTTAGGTTTCAAATTGTCATTACCTTCAATTTGAAAACTGTTAAGAGATGGGGTTGTATTTTGCAATGCTAGAGAGGGAACCCAGGGCCGCATAAATGCTAGGCAAGTGCTCTACCACTGAAGTAAACCCCAGCCCCAAAATTCTAAAGAAGTGATAATGCAGCGAGTTTTCTGGCCTCCCCTGCAGAGATGAAGTAATCAAGGTTATTATCCTCTGGGAACTACAATCCACTGGCAGGATTCTCTTCTTTAAAAAATGTTCATATTGATACATAAAAAATGTACATGTTTATGGGGAGCCATGTGAATGTTGAAGAGACCAGTTCCTCAGAGACCAGTTCCCAAGAGTACATGAAACATCTGAAAACCCTGTGAGAACTGAGCAGGAGGTGATGACAATAATGGTATCATTTGTGAGTCCTCTATGCTGTTCCAAGCACCCATGTAATCCTCCAGAACATCAGGAGGCTGATACCATCATCTTCACCATACAGATGAGGAGACTGACACCCAAGAGGTGAGGTTACATGCCCAGGGTCACCCATCTAGGAAAAAAGGCAGAGTTGGAATCCAGACGAGATCTGCCTGGCATCAGAGTCTGATCACTTCTCACCCCATTCTACTTATGCATTAAGTATTGGGGAGCAGGAAGTAAACCAATGAAGGGCTATAGGGAAGGCAAGGCAGTGAAGGGGGTAAGAGAAAGGCAGAAAATGTCTAGAAAGGAATGTTGGCACCAGGACAGCAAACCACTGAGGGTCATGGAGTTTAGACCTTTATCTAGAAGCTGTGAAGATTTCTGAACAGACTCTAATGTGATCACATTGTGATGCAGAAAAATAAGCCTGGAAAATTACCTGAGAGACAAAGATCACCACTTAGTGAACAACTAGACCACCTGACCAGTCACTATGCTTACACAGTTGTTTGGCAAAACAAAGGAGAACCTCTGCACTTGGCCTTCATTTATTAACTTTCCATAAAACCAGGGGAGGAAAAGAAAACTGGCATATACCACAAATTGGCAATTTGACATATACTGAAATTTGATAAGTGTCCCAGCACATGAAAAAGCCACTGGTCCTGTTGAATTTGTTCAATAACTACAAACACAGTTCATTTGTACTGAGCATAT